AGGTCGCAGGTTTAACTATGGTTTATTATGAAAGGACTTAATACGGAGAGAGGACAGATTGAGGAAAACGATGAAGACCAAACGGAAGGAGGAATGTGTCGCAAAACTAGTTCTCATTTGCTGTTGATAAACGTGATATTTTCGTTTATCATGATGAGAGAATAGGGTCAACAAACGGTGAAAAGTGTTAGAATGACAAAATAACCTTAATAACAAAACCTTTCTCGATTTCTGCTTCATTCTGTGAGGTACTACTCGAATTGTATGCGAAGCAGTAGAAAAATCGGTTCTATTTGGGCCTGCAAATATTTTCAACCACTTGCTCACCAATTTAGCCATTCGGAAAAAAGCAATACTGATTAAAGGTACACGTTTGATAATTTGTTGCCTGATTTGCCTCCTGCATATATCCTTTTAGTAACAGTCCATTCCTGTGATCCTGTGATCGCCAGACGGAATTTATAACACGATTACAGAAAAAACTATCACACAGGTGATCACCGCCGCTAGTGTGTCGTCGACATGGGAGCTGGTGGTGAGCAGAATTCGAACAGAAAGAAGTAGGTATTTTTAGAAATTCATGGAGCAGTAGCAAACTGATGCAATGCTCCTAGTTGTATGGCAGCCAATAATATTGATTTCGGCTGGTAACCACGAATATAACAATAAATAATATTTGGTTTATAAATATATATATTGCATTGGGACACAATATCTACCGTTGTATCACCGAGAGTTACTTCGAGATCAGCTAATCTTGAACAGTCATTACATTGATTCTATGGTCATGTTTTATGAGTCAGAGGCATCTAACCTCAACAAGTTCGAAGCTGAGACAAAGTTGCATGATGTTATAAAAAGTAATATGCTAACGACTGAACGAAATCTCCGAGATGCATACCACCAGCGTCCCAATTTTACCACTTGAAAAAATCCTCCACCGGAAATGTCATTCAAAGTGGCATAGGATAGAAACACAATTGACTTTTGGACTATACTAAAAGCACACTAATTCATTCGCTTACTGTGAATGCCGTCGGTTTTGTTTTCGGTCCGTAAGGGTTTTTGTGCCAGGCTGTGGCTGACACAATCTGGAGCTAAACCAATGTGAAATATATAAAAATTGGATTGCTAACGCTGTTTTCTCGCAAGGAGGAAAAAATCAAGAAATTCGTCTTCTTGATTGGCATCGTTTATGTTTGATATGTTCATTCCGCGTCTCGATTTAGGCCAGTAAGTATTGGATTCGAACCCCGTGATTGTTATGCTACGTTCAGTATGAAATAACGAAGGTTGCACACACACACTTACACACACATCCCCATTCATCTTTTTGCTTCAGCTTGTTGCACTCAAGGTTTTGATAATTGTGTTCTTCATTCCATTTATTGTAGTGTATTAATTACATTAGATGAATCCGATTAGGAAAATCAGAAGAGGAGTAAGAGGATGAATCTATAGAAAGAGACAATCGAGAAAAAATTAGTGTTTTTCCTCACACTTACTTGGGCCATTGTTTGGGATTCGGTGAAGACATTCGACTGTTGCATAAGCCATCGAAACCAAAATTCCACTCCGACAGATTTCTCATCCGATATTGTATGTGTGTTTGAGGAGAAACTACCGGATGGAGATCCAATCTCGTTTTCACGATTGTGATTCATCGCACGTCCGTAACTCAGAGCAGCCAATAGAACTTCCGGTGGAGGTGGAGGAATCTGCAGAACAGATTAAAACAAGTGGGTAAATAAGCATCATAATGGAGACGGTACCCACGGACATTTAATCAACTCTTAGTATGATTCTGTTTTTTTTTCAATGATTAGATCAAGTTATACAATTGCATTAGCTGACTCGTCTAACGCTTTGATTCTGAAACATTTTTTTATAAATTTTTATGACAGTAGCCTGTTATATAACTGTGGTAATCCTGACCTACGGGATAACCCCAGCCACGGAGCGACACGTTACAGTTTCTGGACAACAAACCACAGACCAATCGTGCCAATAAAACAGAAGCTGTAGGACGTCAAGAATACAAGCAGGCCATTGGTGGAGACCTGTATAATCAATAAAATTGCTCTGTGCATGTTATTTAAATTCACTGATTTTCCTCAATAAACCAACCACTACTTCTGGGTTCTTTTTCATGCGTCTCGGTAGCGAGTAACTCCAACGTAGAATTGCTAGTGTGATTCTATGCTTCAGTTGCGGCCGCAATTTGTGATCCGTAATCCGGATTACTACAATAGCGTGCATGTATGGTTCACTAATGCTGTAGTGAAGTAGAGCTAGTGCAGTAAATACTAAAATAAATTAAGAGGCCATTCCGATTCTAGCCAGAAACGCACAGATTCGAGGTTGACATAATGTTCGTCCTATCGGCTTATAGATCTAAAGCAGATAGCTGGCACTGTATCGTGATTAGTCTTCCACTTTAAATGCATTCATATCGTTCACCTTGAACTGTATCCATTTTAAGTAAAAAATGAATTAAACCTTTTCGAAGGATCATATCCGACATCACTACTGCATTGCTCTATTGATCCGTGCTGATCTAGACCGTCGATGATCCTTCAACCAACTGGTAGTCATAAAACTTCAGAAAGGGGATTTAATCCCTATTTTTCAATAGATCACTTCACCCGAATGTGTCAATTCAATACAAACTACACAATTACCTGATGGAAAATGATATTCATGGTAAAAATATTGTCGGTGAAATCACTACTATAGCACATAGTAAGTTATTACTAGTACCCCCACTAGACTCAATGGGTTACATGCCAACTATGTGTAAATACCTCAAGAAACTTTAATAAAATATGATACACATGGTCTGTCAAATGGGTTAATTATTCAGCTAAAATTGGTTTTTCGTTTTTAATCTAAGCTCGTCGACATCTCTTTCTATGTGTGTGACCAAATGATGAATTTAGCCCAATCAGAAGAATTCCAAGGCAATTTAGGTGACAAATGTTTGGATTAGCCCATTCGGTATTTTCACAGGCACCGAGCACTGTTGATGACGATGTTCGGTCTTGGTTTCACTCCTTGGAAGATCGCGGTTCGAGTCCTGACAGGGACACAAAATGTACGCACTGCTGATGAGTCTCAGCAGCAGCTCTGTCCAGTGCTTTTTGATTATCACAAACATTTCCATCGCAATCTCAAAGAAATTTGAAAATTACACATAAAGTGGCACTGTGGAAAACTTTTGTTCATTTAACTAAGGGCATACACAAAACCCACTTAGCTCACTTTTCAGACGGTGTTTTCGGAACTTACTTTACCAAGGGCCAGTAATGGGAAAGAAAATGTGGATCGCGGCGACGCGGTGGTTAGATTTGTGGCGGACTCCATGATGTTTCTAGGTCGTGATTGGACCACTGTCGCGGAAGAGACTGCGTTTGATCTCGATGACCAAGGGATTTCTTCTTTTCTAGACATCTCATGTCCAGATTGAATGAGTGAATTCTCGGGGAGGTGACCATTGCGTAATCCAGCAAAGAGGTTCATTCCAACCTCGTGGTTGTTCATTGGGTTTGTTGAGAACATTTGAAGTTGTTTGGTGAACAGCCTGATTTTGGTCACTGAATACATAATGGGGAGAAAAATTGAACATTGTACTAAGGTTAGTGCGCCAGACAATATACATTTTACTTTTAGGAATAAAGTGACAAAACAGTGTGATGGGTAGTTCCGGGATCCTCAGGAATAACTTTTGTTTTTTAATGAAAATTTATGCCAATTGGTCATTGATTGGCTGAAACAACGAGGCCCCCAGAAACCATTAGTTTTAACTTCTGTAAAGAGCTAATTTTGTTTTAGAACATTTTGAAGTAATGCCACTACAAAACGCCATGCACTAATACATTGTTCCCAACGGACAAACAGAAGAGGGCGTGAAATGAAAAGCTGAAACGGACTGCTTTCACAGACGGATGTGACAACCCTTCAATTAACATGCGACAGCACTAGGCCATCCGGTCACACTAGCTTCGTTTTGCTTATTTTAATGTCTGTAACGTGAAGTTTGGTCTATCCTTTTGTTTCTCTTAATGCACTGTCATAAGCGGGAAGGAGAAGGAGACCGGTTTTCACGTGCCGGACTAATCTGTAAAGGTCCATGAAAACTTGCAATATCAAAACACTGAACATGTAATTTGAATTGTTTGGGCAACGTAACAAGGCGGCATTCGATGGAATCGCATCGGCCTGAGACTGTCTATTCCAGTGTGTCACAAAACTGCTTTCTTCAAATGATGGTTTTTCTAATCACGTCAATCTGACATGAAAACTGGTGCACTTTTGCGTTTTAAAATTCATTCTGTGAAGGTAGGAGGCTTTCAACTATTCTACCCTATGTTTTCATTGGTTTTGTGGTATATTGCTGAACTAAGAAAGCTCCGAGATTTTGTTCATAATGACTCATAACATTCCCTTCATTTATTAAAATGACTCGATAGTTGATTGCATTGTCTAGGTTGTTCCCCCAAGCAAACGACACATTCCTAGCATATATTTACCTATTTTGGGCTATGTCGTATCCTTTTCGAAGGTAGCTTTCATTGGATCATGCAAATTAGGGCCTGGATCTTTAACTGGAAGACCTCTGTACTACACTTTGATCCATCAACGACAGTCTCCATTCTCAAAAAAATAAGTGTCAGCTTGGTTAAGAAGAGCAGAGTTTAGTTCCGATTCAGTCCACACTTTTGAAGCTGTACCAGTGAACCGTAAATTGGATGATAAGAGACGAGTTGCCAGCGTGGTAGACATGACCGAGCTTAGGTTGCCACCTCCTGATAAGGCACGACTTCCGTATGTTGTTTTTTGTTTGTGTTGATTGCGGACTGAACCAGACCTAGCTGAACCGTGAAGAACTCGAGAAAGGGAGAGTCATGCATCCCCAAGACTTTCAGGCTCATTCCCACTTCGCATGCGCGCCTGCTGCTCATCGCTCTGTTTCCATCAGTCCCTCCCCCTCATCTCTCACTCTCTCTCGCTTATTGAACTGCTTCTTATTGCTGTGTCTCTATGACATCTCTGCAGTGAACCATGAACGGTCCACGGAAAACGTGAACAAATTTTCTTTCTTTTTCGCGCTTACCATTGTTTTTGTCTTTTTTCAACAGATCTAACGGTGCTCTGTCCGGAAAAGCTCATTGCAACAGAAAGAGGGAGCTTATGTCGTAGTCTCTTGTTTGTGTAATACGTATCTTTATTATCCTTCTTCCTGGTGCCATCAGCCATGCCTTATTTGGTCATTTTTTGTATCCAGTTGCACTTGCATTGATCACAACCACTAATCTGCGATTGCATTTATCTCTCGACAGTGAAAGCATCTCTCTCAGAAGAAAAGAGAAAACTCCAAATATAAAACCCCTCAATATGCCACCATGCTGATTTTGCTAAGTCCTCCTTCTCCTGCTCTTCCTCCGAATCATTATCCGAGTTATCGCAGCATCGTCATCGTCATCAAAATCGTTCGAACAATCATCAGCATCAGTTTTCGACGCGGTAGCAACATGATCAACACATGTTTTCACGGTCTCATTGTTAAGTGGTGAACTGCTTCAGTAATCCATTTTAATAATGACTACACAGTTGAACGGAACATTCTTGAGGTTGTTTAAATCACATTATACCTACCTCACTAACTGTGCCAATATTCGATCACATGCACACACACTTTGTGCTCAAATATAGTGAATTGAATCGTGTGTTTTAAAAAGAACTGTTTTAAGTCAGATTTGACTGCACTGATCAATCACTGTGAGTACCTCTCTCCATGTGTGTTGCTGTCCTATTAACTGGACAGATACAATATGGCTTTAGGAATTCGAGGAGAAACACAAAACTGCGGTGCTTATGAAGGTGGAGAAAACATCTCTCATATGAGGATAATGCTGTTCCGTGTCAAATCGGCCGAGCTATTCGGAGTAAATGTGATCAATGATTCAAAAAATAACGAAGTGACGAACTCCCCTTTGATTGCAATATGAGCCTGAATTGATCAATATTCCACATATAGATATATTCAACTGGAGGTAGTAGTGTGTCTCTGTGTGTGTAATGACACAAGATTCTACTCGGGAACTTTATTTTTTGACTTTCAGTCATCTGAACTTTCCCGGATAAGTTAAATAGATTTTTAAGAAACAAAATCCGATTGGGCTAAAACAAAAAATCATGGTTCCGTAGAACTGGGTTCTAACCGTCACTGCGTTGAAAAAAGAAAACTTTAACAAGCTGTAAGTAGCCACACAAAAAATGCTTTGATTCACTAATTCAAAATATGGAAAATTCTCTGATGTGCATCGTTCCCTGCAAAAAAGTATGTATTTGCGATTGGCAGTACATAAGACATAAGCATCAGTGTATCAAACCCAAGCGAGATTATTATGGCAGATGCCATAAAATCTGAGCAGTAAAAATTGTCCAACTTCATAACAGTCCTTAAAATACCAAAACAGAGGCATTGTTCGTAAATTTGATCACCTGCAAAATAGAAAGATTAAACAAGAGAACTAGAGACAAAAGTATCCTTACTCTACCCCGTTACTATAATTATTTGACCTCGACTGTTTGATCCCGACATAACACCTTTCCGTTATTTTCTTGCATAAATGTGGTTGTACTGACTTGAGAAGGAACTCACAAAAAACATATGTTCGCCTACGACCTGTGTTCCGATGAGACAGTACGTAGAAGAAAATCCGGCTTTCTGAATAATCACCTAGTGTTTACAAGCAAGTTGGTTCAATTACTTTTCCATAGACGGAAAGGTATAGATGTAGAACTTCAAAACATATCAAATAAGGGTATAACGACTATACCTGCTACTACTTCGGTGATGGTTTTCTACATCATATACCATACCACCTAAAAGTACCACCACCGACATTCCAGAAAACACACACTACTCTAGGAGAAACTGTAACACAAAACTGTTTTTCGGTACCCGGGTGTTTTTATTCCATAACATGAATCTGAATGTAAGAAGGAGTTGTTTTATCGCTACAAGATACCTTACGCGCATTTTGCAATTCCGCTGATTATGTAACCTGTCGTGATATGGACAGAATAAAAATATTCCGTATCTAATTATTGTGTGTTTCCCCACTCCAGGCCTCCGGGATTTAGGTTATCGCTTCCCGGATCCAGAAAGCGAGAGTTATCCTTGATCACGGAGTAGCCCCGAATCTGTCGTGCATCTTGCCGAATTATGTTATCAAAGGCTAGAGAACATCACGCACTATCTATCTCACTTTAAAATCATATAGCGGATTTGTATTCCTGTGTGCCTGAAGTTCTTCTTTTTTTATCATATGTATACATACATTGGATGGAATAGTGCAATCAATTGTTTTATGTATCCAGAAATAAAGTATATAGTCCGAAAATCGGATTGAATCTAATGTTGTCACCGCTTTTTCCCTCTAGTCATTTCTTATCCATACATCTTTTTATAAATATTTCACATAAAGACGAAATGACCCTTTTTGGAATCTGCCCCTTTGTTTCGATGCGCCCACAGCATTGATAAGCACTTGCGAGAACGAAACTCAAGCATACTACTTCCCGGATGTATGGATGAATTGGACGGGAAGATAAAGTCTCAATGGGAGGGGGATGAGTCGAAGTCAAAGTCACCTATCTCGCATCACTGCGCTCTGTCAATTAATTGAGTTGAAATGACCGAGGCGACTGTATTTATCTGCCTTACTAATATGGGTATCGTTTACTTATGGAGGTTAGTGATAAACAACAGCACGAGTGGAAACTGGAGCCTGAGACGCGGGACAGGTACACAGAGAAAATGACCCCTGTGAAGAATTCGGCTGCCCGCAATTAAACAAAATCACCACTACTATTGTTAACACCAAGCATTTGGAGGTTACTATTGTGTGCTCCTTAGTTTTCAGTACCTCATTTCATCTCAAGTTCTGAGAAGGGGGGAGTGTGGTTCAGTGTAATCAGTGTGTCTGTCTACGTGGAATCAGGACAGGTATTCCCGGTTCTTGTATCCCTGATTGGTTAAATAGCATGAAAATTGTGGGTGGATCCCGATAAACAAGTCACGTTTTAGTTTGTCAACTGTCTAACTGCATTAAACGACAATGACGGCTGAGAGTCACGCTCTTTGTAGTGGACATATAGTCAAGTGCCCCGAAGATTATGTTCAAGGTGCAACTCTTTTGTTCAGTGCGATTTGGAGGCAATTCAGATCTAACGACCGAAAGTACACATTACAATCCGTGCAACACAAACATATGACTAGGAAAATCAGACTGATAGAAAAACTCATTTCTGTCACTTGATTGATCGTTTGATATTTTGTCTCGCTGTTTGCGGTT